TTCTTTAGTAAAAATTAATGATTGATCGAGTTATTTTATGGATTATTAAGTATAAACTAAGTCGTTTAGTAAAAATTAAAGATCGATCGAGTTTTTTTGTGGATTATTAAGTATAAACTAAGTCGTTTAGTAAAAATTAAAGATCGATCGAGTTATTTTGTGGATTATTAAGTATAAACTAAGTCATTTAGTAAAAATTAAAGATCGATCGAGTTAATTTGTGAATTATTAAGTATAAACTACGTAATTTTGTGCAAAACAACTAAAGAATTGGAGGAACAACTAAACCAGTTGCAGGAACAACTAAATTAGTTGTAGAAACAATTGAACCAGTTGTACGAACAACTGAAGTAGTTGTAGGAACAATTGAACTAGTTGTACGAACAACTGAAGCACTTACAGGGACGATTGAAGCAGTTGTAGAGACAATTAAAGTAGTTGATAACAAAAACACAAAATACTGAAATAATTACATAAAAAACTAACAGAATAATTTCATTGATCCAAAAGTTTTGTCAATGAAGTACAAAAATCAACTTTGTACACAACTACTCTCTCAAGGAATTAATTCCTTCTCAAGCACAGCAACAACATATTTCATCCTAAAATTATCCACCTCATTGTCGTTAAGGCAGCTCATATCTGTCCCAGTAAGCAAGTGATTAATAAAAACACAGGCATATGGTCCACATGCCGCACGAGAATTGTTACTTGGCACATTCTTTAGATGCTCATATGACCATGCATCATTCAAAAAAAATTCAGACAAATGATTGAACATCCCGCTCTGCTTGAGTAGTTTGGGCCACAATTCGAGAGTGGGCTGAATCAATGTAAGAAAAGTCAGCTCATCACACATATGAATATTGCAATCATAAACTTGAATCAAGCCCTTCTCCATGAAAAATTCAAGTGCAATAAAGTGTGTATTCTTTATGTTCATCACGGTGTAAATTCTTTTTGCTCCATTCCACTTTCGGCCATATGGATAGGGCATTTCACCCTTACAGTACTTGAGTATGTCACCGTCCATCTCAAACGATGTGAGTGCCTCATGCATTGGTGGAGAACCATCCACTAAACTCTTCTCTCTCAAGTTGTTGTACTGATCATACAAAGTGTTGTAGAAATTTAGATCTAAAATAAGATCTGTTGGTCATAGTGCTTGGGATACCAAATCTGTCTCTTGCGCATAAGGGATAAGATCTCATCAACATGCTGCCAAAATAAAGTTGAGAGTTAATTCAATATCAATAAATTATTGTATAAATTAAAATATAGTAGTATTTACCTTGCACTCGAACAAAAAATATGGATCAGTCATGCTCACTAAGTCCTGATAATTAAATCTACCATTCAAATACATTTTTCTTTCCTCTTCCTTTTTGCTAATGAAGACACTAAAGATCTCTTTTTTCTCCACATCAAGAGGTTTGTACAAATTCACTTCCAATCTACTCTTCATTGCATTTTTGGCTTTGGAATTCATGGCCAACCTTCTTTTTAACGCAGGAGTATAAGGAGATTTTCTTGGATAGCTCGGATATATAGTCCTCTTTGATTGCTGCCCATCTAACTTTGTTAACAAAGATTTTACTTCATTCAAAAGAGTTTCATACTTATCACAACATGTTTCACATTTACAACAACAATCAATATTGAAGGCATTCACATTTGTTGTTTTTATCACACCAGGGGTATCTTCTCCCCTACCAAGATCAGCTAAAGATGATTCATCTCTTCCTACTCCACCAAAAGATCTACAAGTATCTAAAGCAATCTGGCCATCACCGTCTCTCTCAACTCTATAATTTCTCGCAACACTATTCTCTCCACTAGTTATCTCAAGACCTTCTTCAACAATAGTTATATTCAATTTTATAGCTGTTACAAGTGCCAACTCTTCTTTTAAAGCATCAATTTTTGGATCCGAACTATCTTCATATGACTCAATATCTTGAACATAAATTTGTTCCTTCTCTATGCTTGTTGGAAAAAAAGAAGGGTGAACAACCTGATCTTCATTTAAAAACAACTGAATCAGTTGTCCAATTACAACTTCAGTAATATGTGATTGTGGAAATCACTTTTATTGTTGTTGGACAACTAAAATAGTTGTGGAAACAAGTTTAGTTGTCTTTTAATTACAGTAGTATTTCAATATTGCATAACACAATTAATATTATGTAGATATATAATATTTTTGAAATAACTAATTTAGTTGTACAATCATAGCTAAGTTGTATGTTTACAACTTTTACTGTTGTTGGACAACTTGAATAGTTGACGGAACAACAAGTTCAGTTGTCCAATAATTACACTACTTGTTTAACTTTTGCATAACACAACTACTAATATTATGTAGATATAATTTTACTTGTTCGTTTGTCTGATAAATAGGATCAATATTTGTCTTGTAAGCAGGTGTTCCAGCCATCCATTTAATCATTCTTGGAATTGATTTTTCAGGTGAAGAATCCTTGGCCAATCGTTGAAGTGCCGGAATAGCTTCAAACTCCCAAGCCTACAATATAATATTAAAAATAGCTTAGTATAGATAGTAAAGTCAAATAATAATTTAACTAAAAATTATAAAATAAAAACATCAATTTAATTACTTACGGCGAACGCCCACGGACATCCATGAAAATTATACTGAGATTTAATTTGGTTGAATCTAGCTCTTTCAAAAGATAGCTAATGGTAAGATCAAAGCTAACTCGACCCCATGGATATGAATTGAACACACTTTTTTTAGACGCCATCTTTAGCCAATGAGTTTCTATCTTCTTTTCGGCACTTTTTGAACACAATACACAATGCAAAAACCAAACCATACTAATAGCAAGCTTTTGCTTTTTGGTTAAGCATGGATCACTCATCTTTTCTATGAGTACAACAACATTTGCAGATTGACCCACCAGATCAACCAAAATTTCACCTTCTTTTTCAATTTTCGCTAATTGTTGACTTAGAGGAGGTAGGGAATGACACCGAAGTCCAGTCATAATAGCGAATTCATTATTGCCAAAACAAAGAGGCAAACCATTATAATCAATCCAAATCTCTTTTTTCTTTTCAGAAAATATACGACGAAGACAAATGCTATGTACTAACTTCATTGGAAGTTGTACTGCTACAGATTGATCCAACTTCAAAAAGTGACCAAAACAAGATTTTTTAAAATCATTTTCAATTTTTTGTGCGATTAAAATCTTTCTAAACTCAACAAATTGAGCTCCAAAACCAGCTCTCGCATTGATTTTTGAATCATAAGACCCAGGCACACTCAAGTGGGTCTTAAACTTATACTTATCATTGGAAATGATTTTAACATAATTTGGAGAGGATTCAATACCTTCTTCTTCTTTTTCATCCGATTGTTCACTTTCACTTTCTTCACTTTGTTCCTCTCTACTTGATTCATCTCCATGACTCTTACCATCTTTTTTCTCTTCACTTGAATTTTTGTAGCTATTTTCATCACTTATTTCTTCACCTGATAGGTCACTGTTATTCTTACTATTTTTTTCCATTTCACTAGATTGATCGTCGCTACTTTGATCACTTTTTTCTTCTCCAGATAGTTGTCCACCGATACTTTGAAGTGTTGTGGTACCTCTTTTTCTAGCAGGTTAAGCTCTCAGCATTTTCTTTAGCATTTGGATTGGATGAAGATGTTCCAATTCTCTTCCTCTTATATTGAAGCATTATAACTACACTAAAATAGTTAAAAGTTAGTAAATAGTAAGAAATTAACTGAATAGGATCAACAGAAAAGGAGCAATAGTGGTACATTATAGATCAATAATTAAATTATTTGTCCTACAACTAATCAGTTGACCAACAATTAAACACAATTGTCTAACAACTGCAGTAGTTGTTGGGACAACTTCTGAATCGTCGAACAACTACAGGAAGTTGTTGGACAATTTCTGTATTTACAAAAATATAAAGTTATTTCTATAAACAACTTCTGTAGTTGTCCAAACAACTACTTAAGTTATTGGCTGAAACAACTAAATTGAATTCACTAAACCCAGCTGAAGAATGGACACAAAATATTTTTTATACTTATCAAAAATGCTCTTTTGAGTTAATTTCAAGTTCAAACGGAATAAATATAATGTAAAAAAACAAAAAAATATAATAGCAAGATGATGATGATTTTCTTCTTTATTAAACTCTAATCTTATCCTTTGAAATAGAAAAGAGAAGAAAATTTACCTTGTATTAGAAGTTACTGATTGAAAAGAAAAACACAACAAACTCAAAGAAGATTTGATGATTTTGAAGATGAAGAAGAAATTTTTTTTTTGAAAAAAAAAAGTCCCGTTCTTGGATTCCAACGTTCCCTTGTAACTTCAGTTTTAAAAAGAAAATTGAATAAGTTAAAAGGTTTTTTCCATTCTTAATATGCTTCACAATTTTAAATAAAATCTCCTAAGTTTTAAAAATACTAATTTGGTCCAATATATTAATTAAGAGTTAAATTAAATTGAGGAAGAGATGAAGAGGCCCCACTTGTCCCTTTTTTTTAATTGGAGACTTGTGAGGCATTCTTACCTCATTTTTCCAGCTAAATCAGTATTGTTATACTTACAAAATGTCAATCACATGAATTTGATCAAATTTATACTCCCTCTGTCCCATTTTATGTGGCAACATTTCCTTTTTGGTCAGTCCCAAAAAGAATGTCACATTTCCTTATATGGTAAGTATTTAAAGGTGAAATTCTTTTTTTACCCTTATTGGTCCCACTTAATCTTAAAATAATACTCTAATACATTTATGAGGAGAGAGAAAAGTGAGTCTACTTTTTAAAGGGCAATTTGGTAAACATTTTAAAGTCTTCATTTATTTCTTAAACTCCGTGTCCGATCAAATGTTGCCACATAAAATGGGACGGAGAGAGTATCTTTTTATATATGTCGCTTTTATTAGTAATTGAAATTGAAATGAAAAATAAGCTTTATTCCTCCTGACCAATTCTTAAGAGAGAACTTTGAGCGGGGAAATGAAGTTGATTAGCATGAAGCAAGAGTGATCGAGCGAGTGGTAGATGATTAGGGTAGCCTAGATGGATGTATATTCATGGTTCCGACGAAGCGTCTCTAGAACTACAAAGACCACCACCACCACCACAACTGTTACTGCTCAACCGGACGACGAACTACTCTACGGCGTCACTGACCAATTACTCGATTTTATCAAATCCTTCTCCATTGACACCTTTCGAAATTTCTCTCTCCCAGATGAGGACGATGGAGATGCACCCGAGAATGTACGGAAAGATCTATCCGATTGGCAACAGCGTCATGCTTTGCTAGTTCTCTCCAAACTCAAGGTCTTTACTTATCTTTGATTTTATGCATTTTGCTCTTACCTTCTTTTTTTTTTTTCCTTTTCTGTTCCCTTTAGGGTTTTTTTAGAAACTGACTTGAAGGAAGATTTAGGAATTGCATTCTGGATGTTGTAAAACTAGGGTTTTTATTGCTTGTCAATATGATTCATCCTTTGAGCTTGTTGAATTAGACTCACTTGGTTTAGTTTAGATTTTGACCCTTTCTCATAGCTTTGCTTGTTCTCTCCAAACTCAAGGTCTTTGCTTATCTTTCATTCTATGCCTTTTGCTCTTACCTTTTTTTTTTTTTTTCATTACTGTTCCCTTTAGGGATTTTTAGAAACTGACTTGAAGGAAGATTTAGGAATTGCGTTTTGGATGTTGTAAAACTAGGGTTCTTATTGCTTTTACAATATGATTCATCCTTTGAGTTTGTTGAATTAGACTCACTTGGTTTAGTTTAGATTTTGACCCTTTCTCATAGATTTCAAGAGGTACTGATGTTTGACTCTGTAAAATATGAAAATTATAGGTAAATACATACATATACAGACCACCTACTGCATTTTGAGGGGTAATTGTGTTTTTAATCATGCTAATGCATGCATTAAAAACCTTGCATTGCTAATACTATGGTTTGACATGTATTAGTTATACATGGAATTGTACCAAATAGAGTGTATACATAGATTGAAAAAAGTGTATCAAACAAGATATTAATAATACACAAAGCTAGTGCATGTATTATTTTTTCTAATGCATCCTACCAAATGACCTTTAAATGTATTTCTAGTAGGGATTTCAACAACTCATATCAATTCCTATAAAAGTACATATCAGTAAGATTGAAATGAGAATGTCAGAAGAAACATAAGAAAGTGTATTTCTTTTTAGTATTAACCGAAAAGGAAAGATTTCCATGTGAAAAGGAAATAAGGGAGTATGCAGTTATGGAAAAGGCTTAGTTTTATACTGTAGTATGAGACAATACAAAGACCATTAACCTGGTTTTCAGTTTATTTTGTTTACTAGAGTGACTAGACTAAATATCTCAAGCCAGGTTTTTACACTTGTTTTATTTCTATTTGAGATTTAGAATTATTAAGTGGTGGCTGCAAACCTATGGATATGTTTAATAGGGTCAAATTCACTACCAATTTTTTTTTTTTGGATAAAGGTAATGTTAAAAGTTACCACCAATTGACTTGAGCCTTGGGGTTTGCTCCCTTTCAAGGTCTCAAGTTCGAAACCCAGTGGGTGCAAACAATTTCTGAGGGCCATCGGACTGGGTAAAACCTGAATTAACCGTGGTGCACTTGCGGGAAACTCCTTGCCGAGGGCCTGTGCACCCCCGGGATTAGTCGGGGCTCAAAGAGACTCGGACACCCGGTGCAAATCAAAAAAAAAAAAAAAAAAAAAAAAAAAAGTTACCACCAATTTTTTGACTGAAAGATTGGATGTATGAGTTTTTACTCTTTTTATATAGATTTGGTTATCCTATCCACTTCAAACAACTTTTGAAGTTGAGTTAAGCCCATTATCCATTTTTGTTTACATGGTATAGAGTCAGACCCATAGTTGATATTATTAGATGCTTGAGGACCTAGGTATGTCAACGGTATTAGATTCTCACATTGTTTAAGTGTATAAGTTGTAGTCTCTTTATTGGTCTTAGGTATTCCTCACCACCTCTTTTGCAGTTAAGTTAGGCCCAATGTTCATTTTTTAACACCGAGCATGTTGTTTGGCATTAGCAAAGCTTCTTTCGTAGATAGGTTGATCGTTGATGTAGTAGGAAATTTCAGTCATCTCTTTAGAAGAAGAGGCCAACACCAATCTACTAGGCTAGCAACATTTCATATCTTGATAAAATGGTGGCATGTGAAGCTGCCAAATACATGTAACATTTTTTTTTGATGATCGTGGTGTCTGGGCTAGTTTTTGCGCAACATGACTAATTCCACGACATACCTGTCACCTCCCACCAACAACTTGTACTAGGTAGCTCTGTCTACAAAGGCTAAGAGAAATGGGAAGAATCACCTCGTGTTTTTTGTCTCCTTGTGATTTGAACCAGAGACCTCATGGTTCTTAACCACTTCATTGACCACTAGGCTACACCTTTGGGTGCCCAAATACATGTCACTTAAACAACCAAAATATGAAGAAAAAGAAGATACTTTGACTTGTTTCTTTTTGTCTTTTTGTTGCACAATATAGGTGATCCTGCAGTCCTTCCTCTAAGTAGTGTCTTGAGTGGAGTTCGATTATTATATGCCTGTTTCTACCAGTTATTGGCTATATCTGAGAGACACATGTTAGTTTCATCAGCTTGCATCTATTCTCTTCCTACTTCCTGTTACGCACCTTTGCATTACTGTTTCTCTCTGGAGATTTATTTTCTACTGTGAGCTTAACTTTTATTCATACATTTTCCAGTAGATGAAAATATATTATTTCTGTGTATTTAGTCATATTGGGTTACAGACCTGCATCAGTTTTATCAGTTGGCATTTAGTTGTGGTTGCTTGTCTTCACTCTTATCCATTATCTTCTTTAATCGGTTGTTCACTTCATTGCAACATTCAGGAACTCTCACAATTGAGGTTCAAATTATGCCCCCGTTTTTTAAAGGATCACCAATTTTGGACGATATATTTTGCTCTCGTTAAGGGTTTTGTTGCCAAGTAAGTTCCGTGTACTAACTTTGCAAATGCCGTTGTGCTTGTACTTACCGAAGAAGTTTAAGTTCAATTAATGTTGATGATCAGATATGAGCTACGTGCTATACAATTAGATAAGCTCAAACAGATGAGCTTAGAAAGTGAAAATACACCAGATGTTGCTGCATGCGAAGTTGAGATGTCTGAAGCGAAGAAAACAACAGATCTATCGCCTACAATTTCTGAGGAGCACAATTAGTATCTCCTTTGGATATGTCACTAGTTATCAGGTATATATTCATTTCTTCTTTCCTGAATCAGCCTATTGTGATTTCTTTTTTTGAAACTGGTAAGGTTGAATTCTTCAGCATTAAGGGTATGCTGGCTACCTCCAAAAAGGGATAATTATAGATTTCCTATCAAATCTATAATCTGGTCTATATCATCTATATAAAGCTGTTTACACCAAAAAAGTAGAGATACTATACAATTCCATTTAACTTTGTGGATGGAATTGGATCTATCTTCAAAACATCTTCCATTTCTTTCTTTCCAGACTGATCACCATACACATGATGGTATTAGCTTCCACCATCTCTTTTGACTCTTACTGCCTCCCCTCCTAATCCAGCAGCTCAACAGATCTGATGTATGTTCTGGCATTGTCCAGTTCAAGCTTGTGATGTTGAGAAATAAGTTCCAAATTTGAGCAGTAAACTTAAAACTTACAATGCAGGAAGAGATGGTTATTTGTTTCCCCTGTCAAGTTGCACAAAAAACACCTAGGAACCAGTTGTCTGCCTTTCTTTTGTAGAACTTCTTCTGTTAAACATGCTCTCTTTATCACTAACCAGGTGAAACACTCTACTTTTGTAGGAATGTCACTCTTCCAAAAGTAGTTCCAATTATATTTTGGGGCCCCTGTCATCCCCATTAGTCCTCTTTTGTAGGCATTGTTGACTGAGAAGACTCCATCCTTGCTATGTTTCCACAGGATCTTGTCTGTTGTGTTGTAGTTATAATCATTCCAGCTAGTTTTTCCAGTAGCGCTGCCACCCTCTCCACCTCCCAGTCATTAAGTAGTCTTCTTAAAGATATGTCCCATATTAGTGAGCAAGTTCGTATACAAATTTTGTGCAGCAGAGTTCCTTCATCTTTTTCTTACTTTTACCTTATAACCATTTCAGTGCAAGAAAAGTGGCTCATCTATGAGCAACATTCAAGTGTGCCTTCCTGTTTCTGCTATGCATATTTGAAGGCAGTGTCAATAAAATAAAACAGAATATCTGAATTTTCTGATTTATGATCATAAAAAACTGCAAGCCGAGCAAAATTTTAGATGAAACTCATTGTTGATTGGAAATGCTTGTTCATCAAGAAAAGGGGAACATTTTTGCAAAATTGGTGTGTCATGTGACAACTTCTACTATACCTGCATTACTGTAATTGATAATCTGGTATTGTTCTGCTTCTTAATCAAGCTGTTTTTATAAAATCTACTAGAAATTTCATACATTAATTTGATTTGAAGGCCACCAGTACAGTTCATTTATCTTAACTTCACCATAAAACCTATTTAATGCAACCTGAGCAGTACCCATATAAGAACAATTCTTAAGTTTGCATGTGTGTCTAGCACGAGTATCTAAGGCTATGTAGGAAATATAGTTGAATGAGTGAATGTAATGGGATGTAATTTGCTGGAGTAGCTATAAAAACGAGAAGCAAGTGTGCTCGTGTCCCTAGCATGAGTACCTAATGCCGCAGAACAACAAGAAAACATGCCCTATGTAGTTCCACAAAATGGGGGTCACAGGAGGGTAGAATGACACTGACCTTACATCTACCTAAGAGGTGAGGTAGAAAAGTTGTTTCAGATGGACATTCATCTCAAAGACAAAAACAATCTAGAATAAGACGTAATTGAAGTACAAGAGACAATAAATAATAACAAACACAACAGATAGTAGCATAACAACGCTACAACAAATAATACTATAATCAAACTACAACAAAATACAAGAAACCACAGAGATAGGTGAGTCCTCCTCGCATTCAGAGGACTTCAGTTATGAGTTATTGGATTTTATTAACTTTAGTTGTGTTAGCTTTCAGGCAGTCCGTGGTCTTGTCCCGACAAATTGTTTTATTCAGTTAAGAGGCTTGAGGCTTTCAGACAATAGTATTCAGTTGTAATAGACTTATTTCTAAAATCTATTTCAATTAAAGTTACCTTTTCAAAAAAAAAAAATCTATTTCAATTATGATTTTAGTTTACAACTTCCGCTTTAGTTTTCATATGATATGTTTTGATATGTATGCTATGCCAAGGGTTAGCTTGGGATCACTTGTGGTTTCAAGTACCGTGTCTTGGTTAGGGTGTAGAATCGGGTCATGACAAAGTTGGTATCAAAGCATTAGGTTCAAGTGTCCTAGGATGTCTGAAAAGCCGCATCTAGTAGTTCTTTTTATGGTTGTGAAGCGCACCACACTTATAAGGGGTAGCTACATGATGTTTAGGAAATATTTCTTTTATTTCATACTCTAGATCGTGCAACCAAGGTATCCCCTAAGAAACATATGCAGATTCATGTGTTGCTTCAATTTTCTTAACTATTCCTCATCTTCGAGGTTAAAGAAGTAGTTAGGCTCAATTCCTACTGGATAAGGTGTTCTTAGATAGAACTATCATCATTTCAGAGATTGCACAAAGGGCTTGAGAGGAGCCCATTAGTGTGTTTTAGCCCGTTAATTCAAAATTTTAAGTTCTATTTATGTGAATTGTGTTGTTGAGCCAAAAAATGACATGCATTTGGATTCTTCTATAGTCCTTCGTTACATAGAACATTCATGAAAGGAGAAAGTATGTATCCAGATTCTTGGACAGTATTTTACCCATAAGATAGTGTGATTTGGGATGTTATGATTTATTAATAGAATGTCCCAAAATTATAAGTGTGAATCTATCTATAGTATTCAGAAAGGTTAGGATAATGAATTATCAGAGTGTAGTATATATGTATAGAAGTTATGTATCCATTAACTTAGAATTGAGGTGATATGTATTCAGGTGTTAACTAAGGGGTAGTAAGTTGATGTAGATCTCATGGTAGAAGGTAGAAAATAAGTTAGTGGTTAAGATGACTTAGATTATGGTTGAACTAGGAAGTTTATGATACATGCCATAAATGAAAGTATAAAGCAGTTAAGGATTGATATATCTAGGCTTCACTTTGTGATTCTAAAAGGAGCTGTTTGATACTGATAGAGCTATGAATATAGTTTAGACATACGGATGAATAAGTAGTGGTGATGTATGAAAGAAGGAGATGCTAATGTATTATAATTAGATAGACTATAAGATGAAGATCGACTATTATTAGTATGAGGTTTTAGAGGACTCGTGTTTCTCAATTTTTATCTAGTAGCTATTAAGCTAGAATAGTATGTGGAGTTGGATTGTTATGAATGTTTGGTGTTAGACACTAAGTTTGAAATGTGAATGATCAACTAATGTGGAAATAAATGATGGTTTGGGGTTATTGATGTTAGTTTTATGGAATCAATCTAGTAGGCTTGAAATAGCATATGTAAGAATATAAGTTTATGAGTTTCCAAAAAGTGTGATGGTGCAAGTATGATATAGATGTGTTCTGTATGTAAGATAATGAATGGTGACTAAGTCAATGGATAAAAGAGATCCTTAAGCATTAGGAAGATAGAAGTGAACCCAAGGTAATATGTGCTTCCATGATATTCTAAGATTATTAAGTGTTATGTGTTCTAAGATTGTATGTTTGAGTATGTCTTATATGGTGTTCTTAAGAGTTGAATCGAGGATTATGAGATTGAGGGAGTTGTGTCTCTTAGTGAAGCTTTATCCTCCATTGATTTAGAGGGATATGAACTTAGAGGTGGGATGTGAGTAGGATAACAAGAAAGATTAAATTATGAGGTACTAGGGGAATTGGTTATGTTTGCTAGAGTTTAAGTCATATGATGATGATGATTATAGAAACTAGAATAAGTTGAGGGTGGTATGTCTAAAAGGAATATCTTATAACGAAGCTAGCATCTTTTTGTCCTAGTATTAAAGCGGTCATGTGTATATTATCGCTGAGTTTAGAGGATATGGAATAGGCACATGCTTGGAATGTCCCCTTTGATCTAAGGGGGAGATGATAGGTTGAAAGAACCAATTCAAGTCTTATGAATCAGATTGTAATGCATTTTAGAAGGAGTTATGATGAGATAACAATTCATTTCTTTAGTATTCCTCATATTTCAGTCATAATGACATTCTACTCATCTCTTGGGTGTTAGCATCATGTCCATGACCCATGACCCATTCTCATGGACCTCATACAGATTCATGTCCATGCTTAAATGCTAGAGCAATAGCCTTAGAACAACAACCCCCATATTACTCTATGCTTCCATGACTTCTAGCTCTATGATGTACGATTTATGATGTATGCCCCCATGATTTCTCAGTATGCTCATACTCAGTTTTATGTACTCATGATACATTTTTGGTGATAAGTGAAATGACAATATGCTTTGTATGTTTACATATCAGATTTCTTGAACAACTCATGCCTATGATCTATTTGTTCTAAATCCTACTTATGTTCACCCATGGTGGTGATGGATGGTTATGACATATTCTGTGCTTACAGTGCCTCTCTATGTGTGGTTTATGCTTCAAGTAGATGACATACTCATGCATATTACACTTCTCTCTTTAGGCCCCCATTTATGAGTGTTAAGTAATGATAATTATAAGCTATAATTTAACAATACCTCTCATATTCTAGATCTTCATACTCTAGACCTTTGGTGACCCTCTTGATGTTGCATAGTGGTGTTGATAACAATTGAATGATGGTTTTAGATGAGAAGGTAGTTGTTTTTTATTGGGAAGATTGAGGGATGCTTATTCTACCTAAGGTTATAAAAGTGGAGGGAGATCAAGGATTTATTGTATGAAATAGTTACATGAGAAGTTATGGTGTGTCTCTTGGTTGTAGTCCTTGAAAATTTATGTTAAGAAATTAGGAAAGATACAAACTATTAGATGGGTTGGTTACCTTGAAGTCCATGAAGTGGTTATAGAGGTAGGCTTTAATATTATGTTGATAACATATGGATCAATGCGTTATGCACTAATAGTTTCTTAATTTGAACTCGAGGTTAGTTGAATGGCGTGGTAAGAAGAAGTATTATTCTTGGTGTGGAATTTCGTACAGAAATATAGGATTAGTACCTTCATCTTATGTGTAATACTTTGTGACTCCAAGATAGGCTTGAACATGGTGAGAGCACCGGGTTAAGTCTCAGACTTAAGTAGAAGTAGTCACATATATCCTTGTGAGGGTTATAAGTTGCAACTGTTGAAGGGTAGTATGCAAGAGAGAGAAGTGTACTTGAGAAGTGTTTCTAAGCTTAAAAGTCAGCAGTTGTATTACTTAACATATAAAGAGTTAGGTGACCCATGATCTATCAAATTAAAGGTATTTGAGTCTAGTTTTGAACACATCAAACTATTTGTTAGTACGATATTTGTACATGAAGTAATGCTAATTTTAGTAGACATTGTGTTGTTGTGCACGAGCTGCGCGCCAGCCGTGCGTTGAGGCAGCGACTTCAAGTAAAATCGATATGAACAGAGGTTGTAATTCAGGAGAACTCGCTGGAGCTCAAGCAAGGAGGAATTTTTCGTCAAAATTAACCTTCTAACGCGCCTAGAGGAGGTGAGAACACCTCCCATGACAGGTCAGCACTTAGGTGTGTATAAAATAGATAAATATAAAGTTCAGGTGGGTAATAGGACACCCGTAAAGTTGGAGTGTGTAGTTGAGATTTCGAGTATAGGTTTGGGGGGGCGGGGGTTTAGACCATTTTCTCATATTAAAATGATCTCCACCTAAAACAATATCAAATGAATTTTAGATTATTGTGAAATAAACTTATATTAAAAAAATTACTCGAGAAATATCAAAAAACTTTCCTAAATCCCAATTTTTTGCCTGGACCACTATTTTTCTTTTCTTTGAGACAGCAAGCGGAGATTATAATGCACAGCAAAGAAATCTTCAACCCTTGAAGTTGCCAACTTGTTTCTCTTGATGCTATGAATTAATAAAAAAGTTCTCCAATTCCTTTCACAACAAGATGAAGAAGCCAACCAGGACGGCAATTCGTAAGTCAAACTTTGTAAAAGTGGAGCATTTATACCATGGTTAGCCCACTAAGATAGATGCTCCTCATACCCCATATAACATCAACCACATGAGGCTCACTAAAGTGACCATTTCCACTACAAAATGCCCTTTACTCCAAAGAATCTTGTTTTGGATCTTTGATAATTGAAAGCATTTGATTCTATATAAGGAAATCTCTCTATCTTCATTAGGAACAAGTCTTCTTGTCCTATTGCTTTCACTTTGAAGCCACGATTCATGGTAGT